TCAAAATGAATACCCACATTTAACGAAAAGAAAAATCCCAAAAGAAGCCAATATAATGAAAATTGAAAATCCTCAACAGTATTCTACTTCCTATACTACTAAACCAATATAAAACGCAATTGTACTGACAACACCACAATGATCCACCAATTTCCTAACCAATAATGCTAAATGTATATTCTTTGGTTGACATTATTTTTTACATTGTCATTGTTTTTGGAAAATTGTGGACGAAAAAACTTTTTTCGTTTTTAAACTGTCCAAATGGTATTTTGTCATATGCCACAATGTAAAGAAAGATGTAAAAGATGATGTACATGTAGCATGATTATTTCTTAACCAATCGATACTCATTCTGATAGCAGACCCCGACTCTTGGTATATTTTACATGGATCACGCTTGAGGCCCTGAAAATTGACCACATTTCTGTTTCGCCAGCAATCCCAAAGCATGATCAGGAGGTTCCCATCTCTATTTCATCAAGCTTTTAGGGGTAACCGTGTAAACCTTTTGCAAAGTTTAGTAATGACTTGGGTGATTTTTAAAGTTCAGCGACCTTGCGAAAACTTTTTGCAAAGTTCAGTGACCATTTGGGTTATTAATCCAGCTTTTAGGACAAAATCACCCATATTATCCCTGACATATTTTCTAACCATTTCCCCAAAAGGTGTTATTGGGTTCTTAAATTTGGTGTTTAAAGAAGGTGTTATTGGGTTTGTAAGCGTTTTTCTTTCATGAGATGAGGCGAAAGCCTCACCATAAATCAAAAAACTTTTAAAATGCAAAATGAACTCATAAAAAATTATAAACAATCTTCAAAATTCCTACAAGTCCATGAACTTGTATCCATATCTAGTACTCACTCTATAAGCATATCTGCCTATGCCTCATGATTTCTATACTAATAAGAGGTGGACTGGTCACAAACTCAAACTATATTTCGATCTCTCAAAATTTCACAAAAGCAACGAGATTATTGATCGATATTGTGTTATATCTCTTTATCCGATGACATACATGGATTTTCATTGTACAGTGTTGNACATACATGGATTTTCATTGTACAGTGTTGGGAGGAGTTAAAACCAATTAGCACAAAACAACACAAAAATAGATCTACTACAGTTAACAATACTAATCTGGAAATAAGAATTTCAAGAAACCGAAATAAAACTGAACACAATGGTATACTGAAATTATGAAGCACTGTAACAGTAAAGAAACTTATCTTAGATACAAGCCCTTAGGCTAAAGTTCATACAGAATAGAGCTTCAATCCCACAAGGATAACCACAGTTATGCTCGAATCAAACCCCAATAGTAAGAATATGAAGGAAGCACTCAAACTAGACCTTTTATTACACAAAATA